GTTGAACTGAGCAGATATTTCAGATCTGTACATCTGCAAACTTTGTAAAAAATCATTTTGTGTAATTTTAAGTGTAACACAGCACAAATAATTTTGCCGCCATTGCTGCTTTTTCTGAACACCCTTTAGACGATTTGTTACAAAAATAATGTATAAAAGAAGCCTTTTAAGAAACCAGGTTAGTATAAGCCCAGTACTAATTTCAATTTAATGTGACAAAAATTTATATCTCTTGAACTTTCTCCTATTTATTTAATATGAGCTACAAGCCCCAATGTACTTCAGTGGGAATTTAGGTGACAGACCAACTCATGTTTGCTTGTGCACTCTAGATGAGTGCTCAAACGAAATGCCAGTTTTCTTTGGAAAATTGAGTTATCCATGTAGTGACAGGCCATCTCAGTTATGCTATCAGCTTTAGGTGGACTCCCATATCTTGATAGGTTTCACTTGTGTCACTCTTTTTTGACGTGGATTAAGTAATGCTTTCTGAGATGGCATATTGTTGTGTTTTAAACCCTGCTTCATCTCTGACCTGTCTAGTCTGGTAGTTTGTTCTTTGCTCCTCTTCACTTGATCTCCTGTCCTCTAGTCAACTTTTGATGCCTATTTATTTATTTGCTTTTGCAGTACATAGAAGTGGACAGTAACTAATTTTACTGAGTTTATATATATATATATATATATATATATATATATATATATATATATATATATATATATATATATATATATGTGTGTGTGTGTGTACTTCCTCACTTAACTGTAACAGGTTCAGCCGTTAACACAATTAATCTTTGGTTAAACCCAGATTAAATACCAACCAGGCAGGCTACGTCCCCGCCCCGCCACGCTGTGCAGACGGTGCGCGCCCCCAGCACCTCGGCGTCTGATCACATTTTGCTAAGCAACAGGTTTCCGCGTGCACGGACGCGGATTGAGCTGTCTTTCACTCCCCCACGGAGAGACACATATCCTCAGCCAGTCAGAAAACTGCCCTCCCAAACGACGTTACAAGTCGCCGTCTCCGGGCGGAACACACTTGCAGCTTGATGGTGAGCAATGGCACTCTTGCAGAGCAAACTTACCAAGTGTAATTAACTTTAAGCAGCCGAGACGCAGTTTGCACCGTTGAATACGGCAGATGGACATGTGTGTACTCTAGATGTCAGATTACCGTATAGTAAATCCCGGGCCCAGCGTTTTCAGAATGAACGCAGACAGACGCGTCGGATGAGTGTAATGCTACAGTAAGCTGTTGTTTAACTGTGTTCTTTTGGCTCCAGGCCTCAGCCTGTTTTTACGCATGCGGAGGCAGTCCAGGGTTGACTTTAACCAACTAAAACTGATTAAAAGTCCACTTTAAGGCTTACCTGCTCAAGGAGGTAAAGGCTCAGGAGGTGCATTATAGTCTAAACTTACCAATGGCCCACAACCCCTGTAGAGACTTGATGTAAATCAACAGGGAGTTTCTGAGTGAGGCATCCTCCTCCACACCGCTTCAGGCAATCGATAGTCAGACACTTTGTCTCAAGCAGTGTGGGGTGCTAATGGAGCTCGGCATTAGGGGATGTTTAGGATGTCAGAAAGAATTCATTCTGAAAACGTTTGTTCATCTTAGGTTTGTAAACCTATTTAACAGATTTGCACAAAATGCCACCCCTAATCTATTTCTATTTTTTTTAACAGTACATCAACGGGGTATATGCCACGAGAGGTGGTGACGTATTTCCGTTTGAATTTATGCCACATGGATTGGTTCCGGGTCCTGCTGGCTCCTATTGTTTTTAGCCAAAGCTGCAAGATCTGAACCATGAAAAAGACGCAAAACTTAAATATCTGTGAGCTACTGGTACAACAATCGAGTTTTGTGGTGTGCCGTTGTGTCCAGTAATTAGCCGGTACCATCCAGTGCTTAGTTTTTTCATTTTCCTGCTGATATCAAGGCGACAGCGGACTGTAGCCAAAACTTAGCCACTACAGCTAACACACGGTTTGTAGCTGCCTGCTTTTTCAAAGCTTGAGGATATTGAAGATCCAGCGTCAGAAATGGGAAGACGGAGGTTAAAAGTGAACTGTACGTGCTTCGTTCAGTGGAATAATTTGTTGGAGGAAAACAATGCAGGAGGAAATCCACTGCTACGGGAACAGTCCGAGAATACAGGCAGCGATTCGGCACAAGGTAAGTCAATACGTGTGTGTTGATGTATGCGTTTGTGTTATACGGAGTATGACATTATTTTTAGGCAACTCCTTAGCTTTTGTTTATATGACAATTATATAAAATTCATTTAACATGCAGTCGGAGCGAACAGCCAAGGGCAGCAATGCTTCAGCCCGATCCAAACCACACAAGTAGTCAGATTAATGTCCAAAACCTTTGCTTTACACACGTTTATGTGTCACCGATCCACATGAAAAATCCACAGAACCAGTGGTAGAACTCACGTATTTCCCGAATCCCGAAAATATGACATTTACCTTTGCTGTTTCATAATTATAATCCACGTTAGAATGAATTTTTCCACTTGGCTGCTATAATCTGTTCTTGCTTTTACCAACGTAATTTCTCTTTTTTTTCCCCCTCTGAGATTCTGCTTAGAAAATGAGGTTATGAAGTTACATTTTCCCGCTGCTTTTTGTTTTTAAAATGGTAAAGTTAGGTTTGCCTCAACTTTTATAAACTAATGCCTCTTATATGCATCATTTTTTGTATTACTGTTGGTACAGATATTAGGCGAACATTGTGCTTTGCCTGCTAGTAGTTTAAATTAATTTCAGCTGCACACTTTCAAAAGAGTATTCAGATTTTAACATGCATTTTCTAAGTAGTGTTTTAGTTCACTCTTACTCAGTAACTTAAGTGTTGTTGCACCTCTGAAACATTGTTTGCAGTTTCTTTGGGATACCAGAACTATTTCACTTAAACATTTAATTTCCTGAGATATTGTCAATTTATTTTCAAGCAAAACTCTCAAAAAGAGCTGAGGATTTATTAGTTTTGATTACGTTGTGCAGCTAAATATGGACGCTTATTAGTTTTTTGTTTGTTTTTTAATTTTTCAGATTTGTATCGCCACACCTCATGATGTGTTTCTGAGCCATGCTCGCTGTGCCGATTACCTTTCTATTGGCTCCAAGCACCTGGACCAGCTGACAGCGTCCATCAGTCCACGGCCTGCTGGATCATCACAGCGTGGACTAACTTTTTTTTTGTTTTACAGTACTTGGTTTAACTATGATCTTGAAACCGGAGCACCAGATATGCAAAAATCTACCTGCAGACTTTGTTGGCTACCCTGACAATGCAGTCATCCTGGACGGGGCTGAGCCGGTCTTCCTGTCCTCCAGAGTGACGAGTTTTTGTCACCGGTAAAGGCAAACAAGTCTGATGTCTGATTAGCTGCTAGGAAGCATATTATATATTCTCTGTTCATTTTGCTATCCTGTTTGTACTTACAATAAAATTGAATCTCATTTGTAATATTCTACATTTCACAAACCCTTTTTTCTCTTTTCTCTGTGTTTACGTTATATCAAGTATTTGCATGTAGATCAGGAGTTCAAGTGAGATGTTAAAATGCAACACATTTAAGGTAATACCAGCAAAGAAATGTGAATATTCTTTTTTCTTTTTTTCATACCAGATTTGATTTTAATTGATTCCTCCCGTCCTCAATTTCTATAATAAAATCACAGAAAATATTTTCGGATGCTAACTTCAGCTTCGACTGATAGCTTGGGCACAATATAGACAGATCTATATGTTTATATAGATGTATATCTATATCTATAATGCATAGATATGTAGATTGCACACTGCACAGATAATCAAAACTCTTAACGTTTACATAGCACCTTTGTAAGCTTGTCCCCATTAGCTACGTCAGACGTATGAGGCATTATGGTGAATACAAACAATTTATTAACTTACCTTCGAAGTTATTCTGAAGTTTTGACACATCTTGCTTAAATCCTTTGTTGTTGTTGGAGCGTTTCAGGACGTCTGAATAATTTTATAGGCATCATTAATAGTCCTGCAGCGACTGAGAAGCCACTGTTAACATACTGTTGCCTGTGCACCGGAACCATTATACGTGGCAAAAATATGCAGAAGTGCTAAAACGGAAGTCCGTGGCATATACCCCATTGTTGCAATAACCTTTATATATAATCAGCCATAACATTAAAACTATATTCCTAATATTTTTAAGGTGCCAAAACAGCGTAGACTGGTTGAGACGGGAACTTGTAGCTGAAGCAAATCCAACATCCGGTTTAATTTGGAAACCAAGTCAACACTTCAAATTTGATACTGTGCTTCATTTTTGCTTTGTCGCACATTGCATAATCCTGCTGAAAGAGGCTGCAGCCGCCAGAAATTATTTTTCTTATGAAATGGTGTGCATGGGCTATGACAATGCTCGGAGTATTAGCAAGCAAAATGGTAAAAAAAAAAAAAAAAAAAAAAAGGGAAAAAAAAGGGCTTTTTATAAAAAAAAAATTAAGCCCTTTTTTCG